TTTATTTACGAAAATTTGTAAAGCTCTTAAAGCTTCGGATAAGATACATTCTTTAATATTATCTAAAGGAAAATTTATCTTTTGACAAAAGTTTGCAAAATAACAAACGTCTTTTTTTTTTATTGTAAAGTATGTTGTGAATTAGAATTGAAAGTTTTCAAAAATTGGAATCAAAAATAAAATAAAGCAGAGCTTTTTTGAAAAAAAAACTTAAAAGCTCAAAAAAACAATTTTGCTTCTATTGGATGAAAACAATTATCAAAATTGAGACGTCAGAGATTTTATAGTTTATCATCAACTCTCGACCAAAATATATAAAAATTTAATACAAAAGCAGAATTTAATATAACGATAGAAGAAAACATAAATACTAAGTAAGAGAGCATAAAAATGCATATAAGTTCTATCAATGTGTAATAAAGTACTAGGTCGTTATCAATGGTCGAGTGAGACAGCAAACTGGAGACGAAAGCCACACTTTGAACGAAGCTGAATAAAAGCGACAAAGAGAGAGGCTAGAAAGCAATACAAAGAAAATATCTCTCATAAATTCACCTTATGTGTTTCTGTCTCAACCAGTTATTTCAGTAATATCCATGATACTGTTTCATCCCTCCAGCTATCAAGTCTTTGAACTTGGTCATACCACCCCTGATTGTTTCTGTTTAACTACAAATTTAATTAAAAAGCTCCGGTCATTCTTCCAAACAAAACAAAAAAAGCTCAGTTGTTCCGAAATAAAAATTTTTTTCATTCCTTTTTTCATATTAATCAAATAGTTTATTTGTCATTTTTTTATGATCTTGTGATATTTATTGATGCGCAGGAAACAATATTTGAAATTGTTTGTGTTGGTAAAATAGAGGATAAAAAGCTCTGTGTACTTGTGTACAGTAGATCTTTTATATTAAATATATAAATTTTCATTGGATTCGACATTAAGACGAGGGGGAAGAGGAAGGTGTCAGCTGGTATAAAGTCAGGATGACTAGGGAATGTTTAATTGGGGTGATTTTTGTTAAAGCATAGAATGATTTGATAACTTTAGTAAGCTTAACTTCTTTCAGTAATTTAGATCAACACATTTCACCCATTTTATTAATAATAATATATTTTTATAGACACTTTATTGCCTTCTTTCCGTCATTTATACGTCAACAACGAAAAAAGCTCATTTTCAAAATTTTGTTTCTGGAAAAAATTTTAAATTTTTTATTAAAAAATTATGGCAATAAAATCGATTTTGAATTTTTTCATATTTTCATTCTTTTAAATGAGGAAAAGTATATTGACTAATTTTTAAAAAGATTTTTATATGTCTGTACGTACGTATGTATGTACGTACGTATGTCAGACTTTTTTTCATTTTCGATATCTCAAGAATGGATAAAGGTATTGACTTTGAACCTGTTTCATTCGAAAGATAATCTAATAAAGAAGATCTGAAAAAAGTTTCAACAAATTCAGTTAAGCCATTTTATTTTATTAATAATAAAAAAAGCTGTAAAATAGATGGAGTAAAAAGTATTTGATTCTGTGGACAATTAAAAAAAAAAGCTCTAGCTATTAAATGGTTTATATTATTAATTTATTGCAATTTGTTATAAATAATCATCTTTGAAAAAAATTTATTTGTTTATTTTTTTTATTTAAAAGCTTTTTTTAAAATTATTCTTGCTATTTTTGAGCTTTTCATTGCAACAAAAAAATTCTATTAACAAAGAAAAAAAATTACCCATCAAAATCCTTTTAAAAAACATCCTCATATATGACAAGTAAAAAGCTTCAATCGGCCTCTTTATTAAAAAGCTCATAAATTTTTAGTTATTGTTGATTTTCGTACGTTATATTCAACCATCATCAGCACTTTGATAGTTTGAAGTATGTAACGCTCTTGATACAATAGACTGTTGAAAAAGCTCTCGACCTTCTCCTTCCAAGGGTTAATTAAATTACGCGAAAGTGAAGACCTAAAAAAAAAAATAACCAAGAGTTGTTGAAGTTTGGTTGTAAATGTTTGGACGTGGTGTTTTTTTTTTATGGGAATGAAATTTCAATTAATTCGACTTATCGTACTCGAGTTTATTATTGGAATGTAAACCATCCTTCAATCCATTTCCAAGTTGTGTTTATTCATCAATACATTTGGATAATTTTTCTTCTACCGCATTTATTTAATTATATTTGTTACAAATGGCGTCCACAACTGCTCAATAAGGCAAATAAATAAACAGTTAAATGAATTTTTATCTTGAGCTTTTTTCCTAGAAAAAGTGGGAGAAAAAATAATTACAAATTTTTCTCTACAAGTTTAGGAATTTTTGTTGCAGAAAAGAATTTTTTTAACAACATACTAAAAGATGTTTCTTCAAACTGAAGCTTTTCTCTTCAAAATGCGATCTCAAAAATCTGCCTACGAGCTTTTTTAACCAAGTTATGAGCTTTTGAAGAAAAAAGCTCATCTTTGCGTTCAAATCTCAATAACCTTCAAAATAATTATCGTACAACAGTCAGCTAAGTACCATATTAAAGCTCAAAGTGTCCTCTTTAAAGTTCTTATCTTTAATTTGCATGAAAAAATTTTTGACGTCATAATTTTCATTTCAAAAAGCTCTAAAATATTTTTGCTGTTTTTCTTTTCTTTTTAAATTTATCAATACAGTCATTTAATGAAATTATCTGTCAAGCTTTTACTAATTGATCCATTTGAAGAGATATCAAATGATGAAGCTTTTAATCAACAAATTCCCTATGATATCATTTTTCTTGTTATGTTTCTTTCTGATTTATAATTTTTCACTTCAAGAAGCAATTATGAAAGCAAACAGTTTATTAAAAGAATTCTTGAGTCTAACTGACGACAGTTGTGGTTTATCCATTTCTCTCACTCCAAGTAAAATAATTGACATGAATAAAAAAAAATGACGGGTTGCACTCCGGGAGTGCCGGCAGAAGTGAAAACTTGATTATTAACGTTGAGCATGTTTGATATTTTGGAATGGTTACGGAATAATTTTGCACCAATTGCTTTATCAGTATAAAAGTACTATCATTTATGTGGTAGAATACAATATTCATTTATTGCGCTATCGTACACAAACATGACAATTTATATTACATTAAAAATTTAACACTTTAAAACTATTACAATTATTTTACATGAAAAAGTTTATCTTTCCGAAAAATCAACTTTCATCCATAATTTCAACGACTTTTTCACCATCATCATTACCAGAACTATCATCGCCAATCTCTAAAACTGATACGATAGGTTTATGGTAGCTGAAGTAAGAAACGAACAGTTTTGATTCGAACCTATTTAAATGTCTAATAAAGACCGCATCAATAGTAGTTTTGTATTTCGTTGTGCTAAGATTGCGATCATTTGACATAGTTAAACCAAATTCATTATTTAAAAATTCAATTAATAGTTGATTTTTATCGTCTGCGAAGTTTATGTTGAAATCTCCACTCAAAATCATTGGCAATTCATCAAAGCTTTTTCCAATTTTTTTTTTAAGCAATGCAGATGCATCATGAGAATAAATGAATAAATTTTCATACAAGAAGTCTCGTATAGCACGCAATGACTTATCTGGAGAGATGTAAACGGCAACCATAATTATGAACTGATTATCACCAGAGTGGCAACGACTTATACAAATATCACACGATATCAGAAACAGTGGCATTAAACATGCTGTTGTATTTCACATGTACATCCATATAATTTGTGCAATAATGAACTGTGTTCATATTTTGATAAATAGCTACTCCTCCCGCGGGACGATTATTTCTTCTGAAACTCGCAACAAAGTTGAAATTCGGAATGTCAATTATTTCATTGTTACCCATATGAGTTTCTGATAAAATTACACATTCATCTTTTTAACAAGAGCGTCAATTGCTAGATCATCTACATGCGCACGTAAACTCTGACAATTGAATGAAAAAATAGACAATCTATTATTCTTAGAAATAAAATCTACAAGTGTTTTGGTGATGGTTTGCAAAGGATTTTCACGTAAACGTTTCAATTCAATTGATAAATCTTCTCGATGAGTTGTTGATCTCTTTTGATTTTTGTTGCGTTTGAATCTTCCACCTGTGCGTTTCCTACTCTGCCATGATGAAATTTCCAGCTCGCCCTTGTGTCGTCTTCAGTGACTAAGAACAAACCTTCTATACTAGTTACTCTTGATAGCGCAACGTACACCAATTCTCTTGAATGAGAACGATTGTATTCATAAACGATAGCATCAAACGTACCTCCTTGGGATTTATGAATTGTCATCGCCAAAGCCGAAATCAGTGGAAAATGTTTTCTTTTTGCCACTATAGTTTTATTTCTGTTGAGTGGTATTGACGATGATTGTAAAGAAATTGGAACAGCGTCTTTGTCGATTTTCAAGCGTGCAATGTCGCTTCTAAATTTTGTTGCACGTTTTTGACCAATGGATTTTGAGAATTTGAACCAAGTCTTGTGATTCATCATTTTTATCAGATTCTATGAGTAGTAATTTTCCTACAGTGCCATTAGATAAACCATCAGCGACATCTATGTTTATGGTTATCATATAGGGTCGGTTAGGAACTAGAACTAGTTCATAAGGTAATCCACCAGTCTCGTCAGGTTTCATTTTATGTAACTTTTGCCTTACAAAATTTTCTTGTTCTGCATTATGACAACCAACGAAAACATCCGATGCCAATGAAACAATTTTATTTTCAAAACTGTTCAAAATTGTACTGTTGTATTCATTAACCTTATTATTCGTGAACATAAGTCTCGTTCCTTCCGGACATTCTGATTGTGCGTGTTCTTAGTTACAAATCTCGATTCTATCATATTTAATTCTTCTTCTGTTAGAATGAACCCATCACCGATTTTTGTTAAAATGGCAGAAAAGAGTCTATTTTCTTGGCGCATTACCTTCTTGAGTTCGAATTGATGAAATTTTCGCCAAATTGATTCACCAGTAATTTTTTTTTTAATTTGCTTAAAGATCGGTGGTAGCTTTTACAGGAGGTAATTGGCGCAAATCTCCGATAAGGATCACGTCCAATCCACCAAAAGCTTTTGTGAACAAGCCAGTGATTTGCTTCAAACGTTCATTAATTTGTTCTAATAATTCTGCTGAAACCATGCTTACTTCGTCAATGATAATAACCTTAATGAACTCAAATAGCGCTCTGTATTGATGAGCTTTTTCGATGTGAGTGGCAATAGCCTTGAGAGTGATATACTTAAAGCATTATGCACCGTTGTTCCACCTATGGCTGTAGCAGCTTTTCCAGTTGAAGCACAAGCAATGTATGCGTTGAAAATTCCATCCGTGTCAGAAATCTATTATAAATTTCCATGAGTGCTTTTATTACAAACGTTTTACCACTACCAGCTGGCCCAGTCAAATATATCAACAATGGTTGTTGCATTGGCTCGTTGTTTGATATTAAATGATGCATAGTGTGAAACAAAATTTCTCGCTGTTCCCTCGTTTGCTTTGCGCATAGCCCATAAAATTCTGGATAAGGTAAGATATTATCTTTCTTTTTAGCAATTGATCCAAGCTTATCAAACAACGCAAGGCGTAAATCATCATTTAAATCTGCGTTTGGATTTTGATATAATCAGCAAATGGGTTTTCATTAGGAATTCTACCAACTACGTCGTTTATCTCCTCATCATCATCGGAAACATTTTCACGACATAACTCCCTGCAGATTTCCAATGTTTTTTCGATGTCAAGATTTGATTCGAGCTCTTTTCTTCGATCTAGAATAAGTGCCTCATTTTCTTCGTATAACTGAAGATATCGCGATTCTGCAAGAATTTCCGATTCTTCATGACGGAATGGAAGGTGCAAAGTAACCATTTCTCTCCGATACTCATTGTAGTCTGTACCCATATCATAATTGCGATATCGTATAACTTTTGGTTCTTCCCTGAGTACATAGTCACCCTTGTTATTTTTATAATATTTAGCAACAAACTGAGCAAGAGAATACCTGCTAAATCTTCAGGTCTCTTTTCATACTTGTCGAAATAATTTTCCTTCCATATGTCGGTTGAATCATCTTCTAGTTCACTTAATTCTTTCATTGTCTTCTTTATTCTATGCCTTTCGACTGGCCAAATGGTTGGTATATAGACAATAACAGTTGAACTTTTTGACATTGGTTCTCTCAATAAGTACCATGCAGCCTCTTGACTCGTCATCTCAGTGTGGTTCAAAAGATTAATGCTAATATTTTTAGTAATGTCAAATAAATTAAACTCAGGATGTTCATCCATTATTTCAATTATTTTTCTTTGTAAATTGCTAACACCTCTATTAGTTTTGTTAACATATTCGACCACGTAAGCTGCACAAGAATATTCTTCAGTTATAAATTGGAAATCAGTGTTGGATCTAACAACGTTGAATATGAAGGGATTAAATGGATTATTCCACTTTTCACATGGTTTACGTTTTGGAAAAACTCGTGGTCTATTAATTCCTGCTCGAATAATGTTGACATATTCGTCATCTGAAGCAATATTATTTTCATCGTAGAACGATTGAAAACCATTGTATTCGTATTTTTCCAAGTTTTTTTGGATTAAATTATATTTAGCCTTGTACCGTTGGAAACCATTTTCTGTATCTGGCATAGGCGTCAAAATCATGGTTTTCTTAACTGGCATAAACGGAGCGTCAAATCTACATTTTTGTTGTCGTCTCGATGCTATAAACCTTTATAGCAAGTAAAAGTATGCTTATGAGTTTGTAATCGGATATCACCAGAAGCCTCGGCAGCAGATACTGATATCAGAAAATCGATAAGATCGATAGCTTCATTATAATCTCTGTTAAGGGCGTCTTCTGGGGCATTATCTAACCAAGCTAAAATATGCGCATGTGGACTACCTCGATGTTGGAATTCAATTCTTTTAAAGTAATGCAAAATCCTGTATTTTTTGAAAGGACTGTGCCTTTTTTGATTGTAATATTTTTAAAAGAACTTCGACCAACTTATTGAAGTATATAGCACATGTTACGGCATCTTCATTAATAAGAGTGCTTTTCTCAATAAAATGCAAATCTGCAGGCCTCTTCAACCGATATTTCCGCATTATTTTTCAAATTATGCAACAATTGTAATAATTTAGGCCATCCAATTTCATTAGCACTTATGGTAAAGAAAACAGTTGGCTTACCGTATTGACGAATCATAGCAAAAGATCTCTTTTTCTTTCTGCCCAATAGTATGCTGAATTCGGAATAGAACGAAGGAATGCCAAATTAGTTTCAATGCAGCCGTGAATATAATCATCAGATTCTATTTGCTCTTTAGTTATTGCAATACCTTGGCCGACATGCTTAAATGCAATGTGAAGAGAGTCCTTAATTCTAATTCTCATTATTTTCATAGCCATGTACAATAAGTGTTGAGGGGTTACTCCGCGTCTATCAGATCTTCTTAATTCACTCGTAGCCATCATGAAGGGTGTGACCGCATTCCTAAATTCTCTGAAATGCCCCAGATATATTTGTGGAAAAGATAATTCTTCAGCATGTTCATCAAACAGCAAACTCTTTGGAGCATTACCTAAAAAGAAAGCAAAAGTAAATCATATATATTATGTATCTTCTTGTTCAATAAATTAAAGAAACATAAAAATAAAAATAAAAAACTACCTTCGCCTGGAGCGATTCTCAAGTACATATCGTCGTTCCACATCAATGTTTGCTGCTGTGCTATTAAACTTTCCTCGATGGGTATTTGTTCTAAAAGGTCATTGTCGCCATCTTCATCAAAGATGATTCATCTTCAACGTCATAACTTCTATCATTTAAAAATCATCGTCAACTAAAACGCCGTAAGACTTGTAAAGAGGAGTATCCTTTAAATATCGTAACCACACTTTTATTTTCTCTTGGTCACTATACCATACACGTAGCTAGATTTGTGAATTTTTTTCCTTTTAATGTGAACTGTTATAGCATGATCATCATCCACTTGTCTTGGTAACTGATGCACCATTGTGTTTATTTCAATTGGAACATTTATCACCTGCCCGTATATTCCATATTGACCGTGAACATGCCGAAGCCTTCGAATTTGCATGAATGGAATCCTTGGCGATATAAGTCTTTCAGTTACCAAGTCCAAAGGAAAGTCTTTAAGACAGTCTGGAAGTGGTGGATATTTGAATCCATTGTAAACTGATAGTTGTGGGATACATTGCTTTTGAATGGCTTTAAAGCAAGTCGAACATATTTTTATTGTCAGTATAGCAATGTTCGAGAGCAATGTTCTTATAAATTCAATTTTTGGAGTTGCATCGTTGTTTTGCAAATATTTCAAATCTTTTCTAAACCACAGTCTGTCACAAATGTCGCAAGCATGACCAAATTCATTTTTAACAAAATCATTTTCAAACTGTTGATGAGCAGAAGAATTCTGTTGAAAAGCAGAGTATGTTTGAAGATGTATATTAGGTGGAGATGATTCAACATCTTGAGAAGGAAAATGCCTTTGACGCACTTCGATAGAATTGTAGTTAGAATGTAGTGATGGACTTGAAGGTACATCTCTCGACAATAAATCTGCAATTTGGGAACTACAAATAACTGGTGGAACATATGGCACACCTCCGGTGGACGGGGTCTGCAATTTGTGAGTATGAATGACTGGTTGTACATCCAACACATCTCCGGCGGACGGGGCTGTTTGTATATTTGATGTTCTTTTTTTATCTCGATACCGCTTAGAATATTCTTTGTTCTTCTGCTTTTGTTTTCTTCATCTTCTTTCTTCTTTTCATCATCAGAGAAGTAAGGCGTAAAGTGTAGCTCACGAAGATCAAGATGAATCCAATTATGTGTATCATTTGCTTTAAAATGACAGAATCGAGTATCTTTATTTTTTGAAATTACGTTGAAATAGTGGTAATGCACACAAATATTTGATTGTAAGTTTTTGCAAACAAATATAAACAATCCAAATCTCCATATTCATTGTTACTTGAAAGTATATTATATGCTTCTTGTGGATTGTGGCAGGAGTTTAAATAAGGTGAATCACGTAACTGTCTTCTCAAATCACAAGTCGAAATTTAAGTTGCAGAACATGTATGAGTGAATGGAAAAGACAATTACCATCACCTGGAATATCTGTAGTTCTATGTAAAATGACTTTGGGGGTAATACATTCGTGACTCTCTTCATATATACGAAGTTGTTGGGTGAGGAATTGATTTTGTTCGAGCGGTACATTTTCTAATTTCGAAAAGCCCTGCATTGCAGAACATTCTCTTGGTCTTCATTACTTTCCAATTTCTTTTTTTTTCTGCGAAAAAAACAAAGAAATCATAAAATAAAATAATAACAATAAAAATACATAATAAAACAATAAAATATATGTATATATATATTTATATATATATATATTACAATATTTAAAATATGAAATCAAATTACATTTGCAAATCATCTAATTGCTTTGGAACAATTCTTCTACATTTTCGTCATTTTCCTTTAAACCTTTTGTACGTTGATAATATGCTCTTTGATTCTCACAATGTCTTTTTCTTTTTTTTCTTCTTTTCCTCCTTCGAATCTTTTTTTTCAAATCTTTTTTACGCTGACGCCATGCCTTTTGGTATTCTCGATTCCGTCTCTTTTCTTTCTCTGAAAAACGGAGATTATTTATTATCATCTTATTTCATTTATTTTCATTCGAAATTATTTGTTTGGTAAACCTACACCGCACATGTGCTTATTGTGATGTTATGAAAATATAGGTTAATGCTATAAAGTATAAACATATTACAAATATTACATTATACTATGTAAGTTCATATGTATCTATATTAATAATTTCGTTAAGCAGTACGATAGACTCGATCGAAACCTAACCTTAATTATAAAATTATATTATGAATAAATGAAAATTAATAAACCTAACCTAACCTGAATAATAAAAAATTATATTAATTAAAAATTAAAACTTATTAAATTTTCATCTAGTATATTTATAAAGTACTCACTCATTTTCTTCGCTATTTCTTCATCACTTTTATCATTAATAGATGCACTTTGTTCAATTTCCATATTTTAAGCACTTTACATTCACGAATTTTACAAATACAACAACAATGTGATCACTACACAGACGTCGAGCCATCAGCTGTCACATCCATGGATGCGCGTGGCACGCTGTAACATACACGAACATTCGCGCAAGCGCCCTGCGCTGCCTAAACGAAACAGTAGGCCCAGGCATACATTTTCGCCGCGCCGTAGAGAGGGGATAGCTGTCTACTCTCCATCCGTCTTACGCTTTTTCGATCAGGTCACGTG